CTGCTGGATGATCCACAGCTGCCCTCAGGAGCTCTGATAGACCAGGCCAAACACCTGGGCAACCTGACCTTCAACATCTGGAACAACATGAAGGACATGGTCTCCTACACTCCTCTCATTCTGGACCCAAACACTGCTCATCCAAACCTCATCCTGTCTGAAGATCTGACCAGTGTGAGATATGGAGGAGAGAAGCAGCAGCTTCCTGATAACCCAGAGAGGTTTGATTTGTTCTACTCTGTCCTGGGCTCTGAGGGCTTTAACTCAGGGACTCACAGCTGGGATGTTGAATTTGGAGACAGTAAAGGGTGGGAATTGGGTGTGCTAGCAGAGTCTGTGCAGAGGAAGGGACTGATACAGTCTGGATTATGGAGAATATGGTTCTATGAAGGTAAATACTCAGCACGCTCACCATCAGCTCCTCTCACTGCTCTCTCAGTACAGAAGAAGCTCCAGAGGATCAGAGTGAATCTGGACTGGAACAGAGGAAAGCTGTCGTTCTCTGATCCTGATACTAACACACACATACACACCTTCACACACACTTTCACTCACAGGATGTTTCCATATATTCAAACTTTGTGTAAAGTGAAGGTGTGTCCGTTGAAGGTGTCAGTGTCAGTGCACTAAAAAAAAGAGCATGTTGGATTTACTTAATTTATTAGTGGACATTGGTTGCAGACATTTTTTTTGCTTTGGCAGAAACTTACACAACTTATTTAAATCAACACACCTGATTCATATTCAATAATACGGAATATTTTAGACCTTCACAATTTTGTCATTTTTTTGCAACACTATTCAATAACTTTTACCCCAATACTACTTGGTGACATAAATACTACATGTTGTCTTCATATTACATATGACATGTTAAACAAAGTCTAGAGTCTGGCTAACATAAAAATTGAATGGATTTACAACAACTACCATTCTCCTATCTTTTTCCGGGTTGTAGGGCTTAGGTTGCAATAGGTTAAGCCGCAGGGTACACCCTGGACAGCTCATCCGATTGGATCCGAGTACACGATGGACGGGTGGCAGACATGGAGGGTCGTGTGCCTGGCGGGATAAAATTTGAACTTGAACTTACTAGATTGTATCATGTCATCTCAACAAGAACAAATTAAGTTGATGAATTTCATACAGATCCTACATGATTTCATTACGTTCACCACAAAAACATGAAATTATTTTGTTCAAATTATAAGTTCGATTTTTGTGGGCGGAGCACACACATGGGAGTCTAGAGAGCAAAGGGGATTTTGTGTGCATCTGTTATTTACCTCACTGTAAACAAATGTACTGTTTTCACTAAAGAGTCTTTCGGGTCCTCCTTCCCCACATCCCATGGTTTGCTCTGGCAAACCGTGACATTAGAAGCATATTAGTCAGCTTAGAACACAGGGATTTAATAATAGATACACAAAACGGAGCATGCCCGTTCCGGCCGGCTTTAAAGGGTTAAAGTGAAACAGCAACATTTTACTCCTCCCCTCACGTCACTCAAATGCAACAAACCAGGAAACAGCAACATTGTCTCCTCCCCTCACGTCACTCAAATGTGACAAACCAGGAAACAGGAAGTTCTTCGTCCTCAGTAAAGAGAGACGCACAGACGATCAGACTGAGCTCAGACCAAACTAGCAGCTTCCTCTGAGTGAGTCCAGCTACAGGAGAGAAAAGTGGAAAACTCCAACACTGCTGCTTCAAGCTGCTGACGCTCCACACACTGAATGTGAGTTTGAGCAAAAACACGACTCAAAGGAAGTTTCAGTGAAGGTGGTAGAGGAGGGAGGGGAGCCAGGACTGACTGTACTTCCTGTCTGCTGTTTTCAGCTTCACTCACAGACTCAATGGCTTCCAGATCAGAGGAGGATCTCTGCTGTCCGGTCTGTAAGGAGGTCTTCAGAGATCCTGTTATTCTGTCATGTAGCCACAGCTTCTGTAAAGACTGTCTGAAGAGATGGTGGAGAGAGAGACCAACACACGAGTGTCCAGTTTGTAAGAGAAGATCTTCAAGTGATCCACCTTTAAACTGGCTTTAAAGAACCTGTGTGAGTCGTTCTTACAGGAGAGAGATCAGAGAGCTTCAGAGGCTCTCTGCAGTCTGCACTCTGAGAAACTCAAACTCTTCTGTCTGGACCATCAGCAGCCAGTGTGTGTCGTCTGCAGAGACTCAGAAAAACACACCAATCACAGATTCAGACCCATCGATGAAGCTGCACAACAACACAAGAAGGAACTTCAGGAAACTCTGGAGCCCTTAAAGAAGAAGTTAAAGGTTTGTGAAGAAGTTCAAGTGAAGTTTGATCAAACAGCAGAACACATTAAGGTCCAGGCCCGACACACAGAGAGGCAGATTAAGGAGCAGTTTAAGAAGCTTCACCAGTTTCTAGCAGAGGAAGAGGAGGCCAGGCTGGCTGCACTGAGGGAGGAAGAGGAGCAGAAGAGTGGGATGATGAAGGAGAAGATGGAGGCTCTGAGCAGAGAGATAGCAGCTCTTTCAGACACAGTCAGAGCCACAGAGGAGGAGCTGAGAGCTGAAGACGTCTCATTCCTGCACAACTACAAGGCTGCAGTGGAAAGAGTCCAGCGCTGCCCCCTGCTGGATGATCCACAGCTGCCCTCAGGAGCTCTGATAGACCAGGCCAAACACCTGGGCAACCTGACCTTCAACATCTGGAACAACATGAAGGACATGGTCTCCTACACTCCTCTCATTCTGGACCCAAACACTGCTGATCCAAACCTCATCCTGTCTGAAGATCTGACCAGTGTGAGAGGAGGAGAGAAGCAGCAGCTTCCTGATAATCCAGAGAGGTTTGATCATTCCTGCTCTGTCCTGGGCTCTGAGGGCTTTAACTCAGGGACTCACAGCTGGGATGTTGATGTAGGAGACAGTACACCGTGGGGACTGGGTGTGTTAGCAGAGTCTGTGCAGAGGAAGGGAGACATATGGTCTGGATTATGGATAATATGGTTTGATGAAGGTGAATACTCAGCATGGTCACCACCAGGTCCTCTCACTGATCTCTCAGTCCAGAAGAAGCTCCAGAGGATCAGAGTGAATCTGGACTGGAACAGAGGAAAGCTGTCGTTCTCTGATCCTGATACTAACACACACATACACACCTTCACACACACTTTCACTCACAGGATGTTTCCATACATTAGCACTGTGATAAAGTGAAGGTGTGTCCGTTGAAGGTGTCAGTGTCAGTGCAGCAGATGAGTTGAGGATGATGATGTTTCTAATGTTGTTTCCTGTCAGTGAGTTGAAGCTGTTAAACTGCAGCTGTCCTCCTGCTGCCTCGTTGTTCCAAAGCTCTTTGTTTCTCTTTTAGTTTCACTGTTTCTTTCTGTTTCTGCTGTCCACCTTTTCACATGGAAAATCATTTCACTGTTTCTCACTGAATGACTCCCCAAACTAGATTTGAAATTCTATCAAGTTTCTAATCATTACAAGTGATTCATGTTTCTATTTGATGTGTAAATGGAGATGATTTAGTTTGCTGGGATATGGACTGACATGTGTTGAATGGGAGGAGCAGTTTGTTGTTGTCTTCTTGTCTGTTTATGACAACAATAAATATGTTGTTGAAACAATGATTCATGTTTAACTCCATATATGAAATGTTTCTG